ATCTATCTATCTATCTATCTATCTATCTATCTATCTATCTATCTATCTATCTATCTATCGTAGTTTCAATATGTTGGTCCAGGTGGAATACATGAATTTCTTGCTTATGCATCCACAAGACCAAGATTAAGTTTCAAACTTGAATGGAATTAAAGTCTTTTATCATTTTTACTCCCCAGATTGAGATTATGTGGTGTTTGTATACTACTGGTATATGTAATTTGATCTGCCAGCCACTCTGAGGGAGATTGAGATAGTATCTTTGTTTTTGTTTGTTTGTTTCGTTTGGGTTTTTTTTTTTTTTTTTCCTTGATGTTTCTTTTTCTGAGGCAGGGTTTCTCTGTACAGCCTTGCCTGGAACTTGTTCTGTAGACCAACCAGGCTGCCTTCCAACTTACAGAAATCCTCCTGCCTCTGCCTCAGGAGTACTGGGATTAAAGGTGTGCATATCATTGTTTTTGAGGTAAGTCTCGGGAAATGTGAGTCAGTTCCAGTTGCTATTAGCAGAGAACCACAGCCTGGGAGGGTTAAGTTGCTGGCACTTATTTTTTTACGGCTCCAGAAACCAGAAATGGAAGATTGAAGTGTCAGCAGGATTGTTTTCTCCTAAGGCCTATCTTTAGCAGGCTGATGTCGTCTTTTGTGTGTGTGTGTCTGTTCTGGTCTCATGGAGACATACATGGTACTGGAAATATGGTTCTAGTGCAGCTCTTGTTGTGGCCATATCCACGTGGCCCTGCATTTAGATCATAGCAGTGCAAACGAAAAAACCCTCCCCTAAAGCAGCTTTTATAAGAGAACAGGTTCTCTTTAATTAGGGCCTGTGAGTATAACCTTACTTGCTCCTGTAAAGTCTTTGTCTCCACAGCTGCATTCTGAGTTAGTTGAGGCTAGAACATCAATGTATGAGCTTTGTGGTGACTGTGGTTTGCCCCATCAAGTGTAGATGTCCTGGGTTATTCAGTAAGTTTGAGCAGCCAGACCTTCTGCATGCTGAGACAGCTGACCCAGCACACCTCCGCTTCCTGTGGGGCCAAACATGCTCCTTCCATTTTCTTCCCTTAGCCCCAGAAAAGTCCTGGAGCCTCACTTGTCCTGTTGCCAAGGGACTATCAAGATCCCAGATAGCCGTTCTTTTCTGTACATGGGATTCTCTTATCTTTCATTTTAAATGCTGGCCTCTGTCTCCCAAATGCTGGCATTAAATATTTTCAAAATCTTTTTTTTTTTTTTCTTAAACTTCAAGTTTTTGGATTTTTAGGGTAGAAAAATAAAAGCCACTGAATTAAGGCATGTGGGGTTGAGGGTGGAGTAGAAGTTTGGGAGATCAAGCCACAGTGTTCTTTAAATACATTTAAATTTTTTGTTTTGGTACCATATAACCAAGGATGTATGCTTTTCTATAAACTTACATTTACAACTCCCTTGTATTATAAAAAGTTTTAAATTCAAACAAAAAACTTTCCCAAGCCAAGTAATTAAAAGTAAAAGAATTTCTGCATAATGCTTTTAAACTCTTGAAGTACTTGGATGTGCTGTAACATGGGGCTGCAGTCTCTTTGGAATTGGGGCTACTCTGTTCCTGACTAGATCTCTGTGTGGACGACTAATGTATCCACTCAGAGAGGAGGAAAGGTGCCTGAGTGTTGCCACCACCTCCGTGACCACTGTGCTTTCTACTTACATGGTTGGGTGTGAGCCCCAGAGAAAGCATCTTGTGTGGCAAGTGATTGTGGGTGCTAGTGCTGAGCTGCAGCTAGTCTGTAATGCTCATGAGGAGCCCTTACACCTGGCCTGGTAATAGTCTAATAAAAACTTCTCTCTCTTTAAAGCAATTTAGCTTTGATATAGCTGAAGAAGCATCTAAAGTCTGCCTGGCGCATCTTTTCACATACCAAGATTTTGATATGGGAACTCTTGGATTAGCTTATGTTGGTTCTCCCAGAGCAAACAGTCATGGAGGGGTTTGCCCAAAAGGTAAGTCTCTCATTTGTGCTGTCATGGCAGTGAGAGAAACAAAAGAGAAAGCTGATGGGTTGTGTTTCAGGTCTGTGTTTAGGAGGCAGTTTTTGACTTTTTTTTTTTTTCCCCCTGTAGCTTATTTCAGCCCAGGTGGGAAGAAAAACATCTATTTGAATAGTGGTCTGACGAGTACAAAAAATTATGGTAAAACCATCCTTACAAAGGTATGTTTTTGATTTAAAAAAGAAAAAGAACTTTATTAAACATTTTTACATTTACCTCTGTGTGTGTGGGAGAGACACAGACAGACAGAGTGGGTCCCTACAGATGCCAGGATGGAGTGTTGGAACTCCTGGAGCTGGATTGTAATAGGTGGTTGTGAGCCGTCTGGTATCAGTGCTGGGAGTTGAACATGGCAGGCTTTGAAGAGCTCCAAGAGTTTTTAACCACTGAACCAACTTTCCAGCCTTGGTTTTTGTTTTTAAACAGGACAGATTTGAAATCCATTGCATTAGAACTCAGTTACGTATTTGTACTGTTATCTTTTTAATGTGTACTTGGTTGATAATGTGGTTGGGTATGTTCTACCTTTCAGCGTTTAAGGCATTGCTCTGTTGTCTACTGGCATTCATTTACTGTTAAAAAATGCCTTAGCCTTTGCGACCTTTTTGTTTTTTTCTAAAAGATTTTTGTATCTTGTTTCAGAGTCTGGAGATGTGGCTCATTTAGTAAAGGGCTTGCCCAGCATGTACCATGTACAACCAGGGATAGTGATGCATGGCACCTATAACTCTAGCACTTGGAAGGGTGGAGGCAGGAGGTTCAACATTTCAAGATTGTCCTCAGCTCTGTTGTAGTCCAAGGCCAGCTTGGAATACTTGAGACCTGTTTCAGAAAACCAAAACAAAAAACCCTTGTTTCTGTGTAGGTATATCTGTTCAAGTATGTTTTGCTACAAGTAATAGAAAATACAGTAAGCGGTAGTGGCCTAAAAAGAGACTTATTTTTCCTAGTTATGGTAGCTGAGGTAGCCTTCTCCTGGTGTACACTGGTACATTCAGAGATGTTCTCAGTCTGGGTGTCCCAGGCTTCCCTTCTGCCTTTCTGAGGACAGGTCCTCTGTCCTTTCATGCTGCAGCCTCATAGGCACAAAGTGGTTCTGGTCTCTTTAAGGAAAGAAGGAAACAGAGACCAGAGCTACTGTAGGTTGTCCTTCTACCAAAACTTTTCTGCGAGTTTCATCCATTGGTTTTTGGTTATACCTCCCTGGACACAAGTTAGCAACATGAATGCCCTTAGCATCAGTGCAGGAAGAGAGTAGCTATTTTAACTGAATATGTTGCTGCCCAGTGCAGGATAAGGGCACTTTAAAAGTAAGAGTGAGCAGCCAGGCCAGTGGCCCATGCCTCTAATTCCAGCACTCAGGAATGTCGAGGCAGATAGATCTCTTTGAGTTTGTGGCCAGCCAGGTCTACATAGTTCCATAACTATGTGGAGATCTATGTAGAGTAGGTATTGTTAGGAAACATTAGTATATGATACACTAGTATTTTGACTGTGAGCTTAATATAGACTATGTGGGGCTGGAAAGCTGGCTCCAACACTCTCTTCTGGCCTCTCCTACTCATTACACATACCCCCACAGAGACTGCATGCGCATAACTAAAATAAATCTTTAGTATTAGTAATATTAGTAGTATTTAGTATTAGTAGTATTAGTGTATTTGTTTGCTTATTTGTTTTTCTTTGTAGCCTTGGCTGGCCTGGAACTTGATCTGTAGACCAGGCTGGTCTTGAGCTCAGAGGTCCATTGGGATTACAGACATGTGCCACCACTATCTGGCTCTTTTTATTTTTTTCCTCCTTTGTGGGGCAGGTGGGCTCTTTCATCTAGATATCTTTTGTCCTTATGCAAAATGTTTATTTTTTGTTTGGTGTGTTTATTTTGGTGAGACAGATTCTCACTTGAATTTGAGATTCTCCTGTACCTGTCTACTGAGTGCTGGAATTGCAGGCATGTATCAAGAAGCCTGGTTTAAAAGTATTCTTAGGCTATTTCCTGGATAACTTTTTTGTGTTATGTATTCTTCTTCCTTCACTGTGTGTGTCACCCATGGTGGCCTTAATCTCCTAGGCCAGTGCAGTCCCTGCCTCCCAAGTATCTGGGATTGTAGATAGGCCCAATATCTTGTCTGTTCTGTTTGGGAATCAATTAAACCAGGAATTTGATTGCCTGGAGTAAATTATCTGTTGCTTCTCAATGCTTTCTCTTGCTTTCCATTTATTTTCTTGTTTCCTACATGTGTTTTTAACTTTCTCTTCAGCCCTTTTGCGTTTTTCATTGGTCCTAACTTTTGTTTTTGGTTACAGTAGCCTTTTTCTTTCACAGCTCCTTTCTGTTCTTCCACGCTTGTAGTATTTCACTTTTTAAAAAAACTAATGTCCTTTTTCTTTGACTTGTCAGCTCTTGCCCTCCACCCTTGTTCCTTTCCTTGGAAGGTCATGTATTTCTTATTCCTGAAAGAGTAGAAGTAAGTGCAGTGTTCATTCTTGTAATGAAGCATCCTGTTACGGTTTTCAACTCCCAAGAAATGTTAAAGGCATTGGGACAGTTGAGATGACTCAGAAGGTAAAGGCATTTGCCTCCAAGCCTCACAGCCTGAATTGGATGCCCTGCTAGGCATGCATTTAAGTATTGAGAGGAGAGTGCCACTATTGGTGAAAGATGGAAAAGTAAATCATATCAGTGTTTGAGGGAAACTTTTGGCTTCCAGCGCCCACATTCCACTCCACACCCCTATTGTTCCCCTTCTCTCCCCAACTATGTATGCAGTAGTCAGAGGTCAGCTTTGGTTGTGGTTTCTCAGGCTCTATCCACCTTATTTTTGTGTTTTAACTAATTAATTTAGTATTTATATATGTGCATATGTGCAATTGTGAATTTATGTGCACACAGGAGCCTGCAGGCTTGATTCCCTGGAACTAGAGTTACAGGTGGTTGCAACTGAACTTTGCAAGTGCAATAAACACTCTTAAACACTAAGCCATCTTCTAGCTCTCTTTACCTCCTCTGTCCCCTCCCCCTACAAATTACATTCATTGGGACCAGGGAGATAGCTTAGCAGGTAAAGATACTATACAAAACAACCCTGACCTCACACATTCACTGCCTCCCCCAAGTGTAAAAAGTGTTTTATATCTGGATTGTATATAATGGATGTGTGTGGGTATGGGCCACTTATGGGATTCGTTCTACTTCCACTTGATCTGAAAAATGTAGCATGGGCCCAAGTGGCAAAAGTTGCTGATAGCTACATATTTTCTTTGCCTGATTCTTAAGGAAGCTGACTTGGTTACAACTCATGAATTGGGACACAATTTTGGAGCAGAACATGATCCTGATGGGCTAGCAGAATGTGCCCCAAATGAGGACCAGGGAGGAAAGTACGTCATGTATCCCATAGCTGTGAGTGGTGACCACGAGAACAATAAGGTATGTGTGTTTTGATTGTTTTAGTGGTTGGAAGGAAGGCTGTGTGGTGTTACTAGAAAGAGGGCTTGGGAAAGCATCCATTCCTGGGTGTTTCCCTAGAGATAGAACTGTCACACACAGTGGGAACTTCTTGTATGGGTTCAGTGACACAAACCCCATCTTAAGTGTAGTTACAGCTGTCATTTGGACACTTTTGTCAAGGTTAATCACATGAAGAATTGGGTTCACTATGACAATTACTGAAGGTGCTGGTTTTAAACTCTAGTTTATTTGAGGTTTCTTAATGCTTCTACCTCCCTTCCAACCCCCTAACCTTAGGTAGGAGAGAGAGAAGGTCAGAAAGGAAAGGGGACATAGACCTCTTTAAAACTTAGTTCCAGCTGGTTAGGGTTGTCAGGTTCTTTGGGAAAATACCAATCTCAGTTGTCAGGGTATCTAGCAGTCCAGGTAACCAGCAACCTTCTTCCATTTCCTCAAAGCCTCTCTGCCCATCCACCTCCTCGAAGCCCTTGTCCCTTCTCCTTCTGGAGAAGGGTTTGTATACTCTCCGAGTCCTCAGAATTAAACTCTCTATAGCTAGCAAAGATCATTTGTTTCTCTGCGCTGCACAAGGCAGTTATCAAATGTGGACAAACTAAAAGCAACTCCATATCCCACACTTGGGACTAAAAACCTGTTTATAGAACATAAGTGAGTTTTTAAAGAAACCAAAACTTCCGCTACCAATTACAATAGAGACTTTTGTCAGAGTCTTACTTTTGAGGGTTTTTGGCGTGGCCTTAAAAATTACCTGACAATTTTATTTACAGTTTGTCACTCATCTTAATGTAGCAGTACTTCACAGCTTGCTGTTCCACCCTCCCCTTCCTATACCAGGGATTAAATGTGCCTTAATAAATCTGTTAAAAACAAACACGAAACAGGAAAATGGGTAAATACAGAAAACCTGTGATGCTGTGTGGAAACTAATGAGGGGTGTGAGCACCAATGAGACTGTCGCTCATTTAATGCATGCTTGGATGCTTCTGCAGTTAAAAAGTATAAAACATGCTAGGCCACAGAGGAGGACTTTGCAGCCAGTCCTGAAGATACCTGATAAAACGGTCAGATGGAAGGGGAGGAGGTCGTCCCCAATCAGTGGACTTGGAAAGGGCAGGGAGGAGGGGAGGGAGGGAATAAGGGAACGGGATACAGCTGGGATACAGAGTTAATAAAATGTAACTAATAATAAAAAAAATTAAATTAAAAAAAAGTATAAAACACTCAGTGAGGAAAAATTCTTAAGTGGCCAAATACAGTTCGTAGCTTCTGCATTGGGTTGCTCTGGTTATGGGATGCTGCCTGAGCTTGGGGCCTATTTAACTTTGTACACTTTCTGCAAAGGAAAGCACATGCTGCTACTTCCTCCTCTGTGGAAATCCCCATGGGCCCTGACGGCCTGTGAGAACTTGCCAGTGGGAGTGGAGCGTGGGCAGAACTGGTTTTTTCTGAGGATGCTGAGTTGCCAGTGAAGCACAGTTGGTTTTGTCCTGCACCCATAACACTTAGTCCATATTTTCTTCTAACAGTTTTCCCAACTAAACTGTTGGCACCTTCCCTTATGAAAATATATTATACATCTTCTATGTTTTAGGTTTTTTTCAAAGAAATTTTACAATCATTTATTTATGGAAGTCATGTGTGTGCCATGGCATATGAGTGGATCTAAGAGGACAACTTTTGGCAGTTCTTTCCTTCACCTGGTGGTTGAGCTCAGTTGAGTTTGGCAGCAGGCTCCTTTTACAGAGGCAGAGTCATTGCTCTTGCCCTACATACATCTATCTATCTATCTATCTATCTATCTATCTATCTATCTATCTTTCTTTCTTTCTTTCTTTCTTTCTTTCTTTCTTTCTCTCTCTCTCTCTCTCTTTCTCTTTCTTTCTTTCTTTCTTTCTCTCTCTCCTTCCTTCCTTCCTTCCTTCCTTCCTTCCTTCCTTCCTTCCTTCCTTCCTTCCTGCCTTCCTGCCTTCCTGCCTTCCTGCCTTCCTGCCTTGCCTTGCCTTGCCTTGCCTTCCCTTGCCTTGCCTTGCCTTGCCTTGCCTTGCCTTCCCTTCCTTCTTCCCTCCTTCTCTCCTTCCCTTTTTTTTTTTTTAATTTTCTTTTGAGACAGAGTCTCTCTCTATAGTCTTAGCTGTTCTGGAACTTGCTGTGTTGACCAGGCTTGAATCCACAGAGAGCCTCCTGTATCTGTGCTGGGATTAAACTGCCATGATCAGTTCATGAGTTTCTTATTTTTTTTAACTAGGTGAAAGGATGAAAGGACAGAAATAAGGTGGTTTTTTCATTTTACCTGGACAAAAATAGCTCTGTTTGCTACTAGGTGGACCAACGAGCACCTGCCCTATGGACTGCATGAGCTGTGAACACTGCAATTAGTGGGAAGAAAGAAAGGTGCTGAGGCCTGGGACCTCCTAGGGAAAGTCACTGAAAGAAAGCAAAGTAGTAGGTAAAGGTGTAAACAGAAGACCAGGATTTACAGGTGATGGTCAGAAAGCTAGTGACAGACTGGTTACAATGTGCTCAGCACTGTATTAGCCTTAGAGACCCATTGATTGAGAGTTTAACTGCTAACGGAGAGGTATTCTTGCTGGCTGTGGTGGTTTAGTTCCTTATCATAACCATTTTGGCCTATGGAGCATAGTGGGACACTCCTTTAACCCCAGTACTGAGAGGCAGAGGCAGGTGTATCTCTGAGTTCAAGGCAAGCCTGAGCCACACAATTGAGACCCTTGTCTTAAAACAAAAAATAAAACAAGCACCTTAGCCATTTTTTATTGAATAGAGGAAAATACTGTTGCATCAGTCTTTCAACACCAATGTCAGTGTGCGCAGAAGTCAGGATAGCTCCTGAAAAGCTTCTGTGCTGGGTTTAGTTTGTATTCTTCATTTTATACTCTAAATCAGTGGTTTTCAACTTTCCTAATGCTGCAGCTCTTTAATACTATTCCTCATGTTTTGGTGACCCCCAACCACAATTATTTTTGTTGATGCTTCATAACTGTAATTTTGCCACTGCTATGAAATACACTGTAAATGTCTGATATGCAGGATATCTGAAAGGGTGACAACCTACAGGTTGAGAACCACTGTTCTAAAACCATAAGGTGAGATGGGCAAGCAAGCAAGATTTTACAACAGCCCATTCTTTTGTGTTGTTTTTTTTTTTGTTTTTATTTTTCAAGGCAAGGTTTTCTCTATATAGCAACTCTGGCTGTCCTGGACCAGGCTGGCCTTGAATTCACAGAGATCCATCTGCCTCTGCCTCCCTGAGTGCTGGGATTAAAAGCGTGCACCACCGCACCCGGCAACAACAGCCATACTTCTTCTCCAGGTCATTCTGTTCCAGACAGCAAGTGAAGTCATGCTTGGCAAAGAGACAGTACAAGCAGTACTTTAAGTAAATCACTGAGAACTAAATATCTAAATAGCTAAATATCTAATAATTGGTCTTTCTACCTTATTCTACTTCTCTTTCTCTCTCTTTTTATGAGACAGGGGTTTTTTTTTGTTTGTTTGTTTGTTTTTTTTTTTTTTTTTTTTTTTTTTGTGTGTGTGTGTGTGTGTGTGTGTAGACCAGGTTGGCCTTGAACTTATAGGAATCCACCTGTCTCTGCCTCCCTGAGTTCTGGGATTACAGGCGTGAGCCACAGGGCCCAGCATCAGTAATTTCTTACTGTGGCATTTGCAAGTGATTGTTTGACATAGTTAAGTGGTGACGTTGAAGGCCGCTTCACCATTAGGACTTCCCTGTAGAGAAGCACTACATGGGAATGAATTTCATCTTGTTCTTTTTCACTCTCATGGCCTTTTTTTCTCTTAAGATGTTTTCAAACTGCAGTAAGCAGTCCATCTACAAGACCATAGAAAGTAAGGCTCAAGAGTGCTTCCAGGAGCGCAGCAACAAGGTGTGTGGCAACTCCAGGGTGGATGAAGGAGAAGAGTGCGATCCAGGCATCATGTACCTGAACAACGACACGTGCTGCAATAGCGACTGCACGCTGAAGCCAGGTGTGCAGTGCAGGTGAGAGCGCTCCCCAGAGAGTTAGAGGATCGGGTAGTGCGGGGCCAGGCAATAGGGCATTGCGCATGCAGGCACTAAGTAATACGTATGAATGGAAGAGTATGTCTGTGTGCACACGCACAATACTTTATGAAAATATTTAGACCTGTTTAAAAAAAAATTCTTGACCTTGCATGCATGACCTCTAATATACAGCATTCCCTTTTATGATTTACCCTATTCGTTCGTTCGTTCATTCATTCATTCATTCATTCATTCATTCATTCATTCATTCATTCATTCATT